ATATATATATATATATATATCGAAAAAATTTGCCGCCAAGACAAGCGGCTGAGATATCCTATATATTCTTTTTTCAATTTTCTTTCATGTCTTCTTTCCCAATTGATTTTATCGTCTACGTCAGTATTGTTACTACCACCAGGCGCTATTATTATTTGTTCTTGGCTTCTGAATATTTTACAAACAATACTATTATATACATCTATTTTTGGCAAAGTTCCTCGCTCAAAGGACAATAGAAAGCACTGCCAATTACTTTTGAAAAATAAAATATACTTTTGCGTGGCGAAAACGTGGTGAAAACATTAAATACTATGGTTGACATTTTATCTGTTTCATATATTCCATGATTATTATACAAAGTCTTCTATATCTCTCGGTTTATCCTTTACATTCATGGATTCTTTTATTAATTCCTTATTAAAAACATAAAAAAAATTATTATTCGTCATAAGTTCGCCATTTTTAATCTTAGATATTTTTTTAAGTAATTGCAAAATTAAAAATAATTTTTTTTTTTTTTCAAATTAGATATGAAGATTTTGCATTTCTGAAGTTTCTTCTTTTTGAAAAAAAATAGCTAACTTGAAAACTATTGATCTCTCAAAATTTTTGTTGAAAAATTTCGAGGCTATTAAGAAAGAGAGAGAGAGAGATAAAACTCGATTTCAAATTAATCAAAAAGAATACATATATAAAATATGTCTAATGCATACATAAATAAGTCTTTGTGTGAAAAAGTAATGCAGAATCAGATCTTTTCAATTCCAAAAAAAAAATTGCAAAAGCGTTCTTATAATAGAAAGCTTATCTACTTAATATATAGAAATATCCAGAGAAACACACTGTTACAGTATCGTTATAATTTTAGAATCTACAATGCGCGCAATCCTGCTTACGAGTCGCCGAAAGGATCTTCTTCAGCGGTCCTCCTACCTCACCCCCAAGCCCTCTCCATTTTCTACGATGCTGCGCGAGTGAACGGAGGTTCTATTTCCGGCCGATATTTAAATCCGACGGGGACCGAATCCGCTCGACCTTAACCGAAGCGTTCGGTCCGGCTGTCACATTCGCGGCGTGCCGAATGCTCGTCTCTCGCGTGGCGACGACGGCGGCGGCGTGACGCGTTAAATGAAAATGGCAACGCGCCCCTATGCCATGCGGCTGCCTCCACGGGGTACGTACGGTCGCGCACACAAATTGCGCTGCTTTATCAATCTGAAATAACACCAGGACGCGGGACAATGAGCGACAATGCAAGACTTACAAGCATTTGGCCGACTAACGTTAAGGATCACGCTATGGTTGACATGTACGTACAATTTTGTAAACATTTATATACCAGATCTATATAACAGATCACACTTACACAGACATTACAGATATAGTTTAAACGTTTTATTACAGATAGATGAGATTGAATCTTAGGATATCGTGCTCAAAAGATTTCACGGAGTACCATGATAAGCAATGTAAGTATTTCTACGTTTTACTTTTTTAAATCTTAATATCATATTAAATTTTCTTCTTTATCAAATTGATTTATAAATATTATCTTTGTATTTTTCTTACATTATTATAACGATTTTCCATGAGATATAATGCTGTTTTGTGTCTCAACGTGTTTATGTTTTGTTTTGTAATATCAAATTTAAAATTGTATAGAGAAGAATATGTAAATAATGGATCCAAAAATATTATCTTTTAAACATGTACAATTTTTTAATATTTTAATATATAATTCACTTATAATTCATTTATAAAAAATAAGTTTCCTATAATAGCATCAAGACGGTCCAGATCTCTTTTTAAAAAGCAAAAAAAGTAATGTGTATGCTTATTATGTGTAAATTGCACTTTTATCATAATTAAAGACAGCTTATATATGCATACATACACATGTTTTTTTAGTCACCTGAATATATATATATATATATATATATATATATATATATATATATATATATATATATATATATATATATATATATATATATATATATATATATATATATATATATATATATATATATATATATATATATATATATATATATATATATATATATATATATATATATATATATATATATATATATATATATATATATATATATATATATATATATATATATATATATATATATATATATATATATATATGTGTGTGTGTGTGTGTGTTATATTTATAATTTTTATTTCGTCTCAAAAAGCAAGTTATCAGATTCTTTTTTACACAACCATTTGTATCTTTCTTCAAACGATTTGTTGTATTTAGATTCGAGCATTAATACGATTTTTGGCCGCGCGAATGTATGGTTAGATATATATAATATCTCTTTCGTACAAGATAAAATTCTAGCCTCTCGAATCGAACGGCACTGTTCGAAACCGAAGGCACCTGTTAACACAGGCCGCCTCGGCGCGCTGGTGACACCGACATCCGGGGACGATGACAGGTGCTGTAGGCTAATCGGTTAATTCGACAGCTCGTGCATACGCGTGACTTCCATTCGCCGAGAGCGGCTTGTGCTGATTGTTATCGGCGCATGACTTAGAGCGCTAATACAAGAGCAATCAGAGAGGGACGGCCGAACGACCAATCAGGACGAAACATTCTTAATGAGCAGGATGCCTGCGATTGTATCAAAGTGTCGATACTTTGCTTTCGATATTTTCGGATAATTAGATACACGATAGTCCTAATAATGAATAACTATTTTCTCAACGTGGATATACAATAGATACCGATGAATTTATACATGTAAATGTAGATTATAGTTATCAGAGAATGTCAATTGCCAAGATATGCAGAAATATGAGGAAAAAGTATTTGCATACAGAGTACAGACAAATTTGCATCTCCAGAGTATTTACAGAGATTGCTCGAGTTTTCGCGTTTCCTTTTCCTTTTACGGATGTAAAGTAAATCTTTTTATCTGATTTACTATAAATGATATTAAAATAATTATTACTAATTACTTTCTGTAAATGTATATTCAATATTTTATAATGATTTTTGTGAGAAAAATAATTTTTTGTTTGTTAATACAGTGTAATTATTTGGATATATTTATATAAATATATTGCGGAGTTGAATGTGTCGTTTGATACCAATATCAATACGAATTAATCGATAACTTGTTTTGTCATAATAATCCTAACATATATAGGATAATTTCTAATAACTTCTGCTGAAAAAAAAAATAACTTGTAATACATTAGATAAGCTTAATATAATTGACAGTATTAACAATAAAATATACCTGCTTTGTTTCTTTCAATAGCTTTGTCATTGTATTATCTTGGAATAAAATATCATTATGAAATATAAAAGTATTAATGGAAACGAATTATCACTTTCAACCTCTTAAAGCTAAACCAATAACAGATATTTTTCGGTACACTCAAAAAAATGTCTTGCTGATATAGGTAGATTTCTAGGTGTCACAACAAAACTTTATCGCTATTTTTTGTATCTGTTAGAATATTGTCTGTTACATATAGAATTTATAGCAGCAACATTCTAATAATATCTTCTAGAAAATTTAGGTCCCATTGCCAAATGTTAATCACTGCATTGGATAAATATGAGTTTCGATACTACAGAACGATCTTTGTGAGAAATATAACTGCCAATTATAACTGCAGCATCGAAAAATTGAGAAAAATTGTTTAAATATATATATATGTGTGTGTGTGTGTGTGTGTGTGTGTGTGTGTGTTGTATAAGTATATAATTCTTGATAAACTGTAACAAATAAGCAATTGTATCTGCGTTTGAAAAATCTATTGTATTGTGTACAAATTTAAGATATCTTTTCTTAGTATTGTTTCTCTAATCTTTTTATATAAGGAAATGTAAGAGCATTCATTGTTGTTATCCTTACAGATATTTTCAATTTGCAAGAAGATAGCGAAAGCATTAATTCGCAAAGCAAATGACATAGCAGCAGTTTATTAGAATATACATGAAAACTTCAAGATAATCCAATAAAAAGTAAAATATCTTTGGAAGAAACTTTTAATGCATTTATTGTCTTAATAATTTGCTGTAAAACTGTATTAATAAAAAAATATTGTAAGAAAGAGAGAAAGATATTTAAAGCATATTTTATTTATGCTGATATCATAATATCCATTCTGTTTAATTGTAAATCTTATGTATATTCAATGATATAGTCAAGATGAATAATTTAGAATATTTCTTTTAGACAGTAATCACATTTAACTTGATATGATGTACCGTATCTTAAAAAGAAGAGAAAAGATTTGCCCCTTTTTATCTAAAAACTCGTTTTTAATTATTTTGTCTAATTACTTTGAAGTATTTTTTATGTATCTACATGTAAAATGATATAAATAAAATAGCTATACATACCTAACATATGTATTTCGTATTTCACTTGATTACATTATGTTTTTGCAAAACAATACCTCGCGCGCATTGATATAAAAATTATTTTTACGATTTTATTTTTTAATTTATCGCGCTTATCATAATAAATAAATATTAGCATGTAAATAATAGTAATTAATAATAGCGTATTTATAGTAAAGTAAGTAATTAATAGTAGCATCCGATATATATATTGGCTGTGAGAATAAAACATCTGCTTGTACTGCGCGATTAAATTATAAGTTTATACGTAGTGATATATTAATGTTGAAATTAAACGCGCAAAGTCTAGATCTAAAATGTATGAAATTTATATTAAGGTTTCTGACCTTTTATTACAGTCATATTGGATTATATAATTTTATGATGATTGATCAATGTCCACAGTCATTTATTAGTAACATTACATAAATCCTTGTATTTGTATCAAATAAGAATTGTGATAAGATGTGGAGAAATCTAATTAATTTTGACGTGCATAGTGTGTAAGAATACATGACTTTCGTTCAGATTCGTTTTAGATATCATAATCCGATATGGCTGGAAAGGGAGCATAGATAAATTTTCATCTGTTTAAAATAAACATTATAAATCTTATATATTTGATAAATTTCCATTTTTTAACTTTGTATTTGCTGTTTTATTATTTCGCACAAATGAATAGCATTAAAATTAATCTCATTAATGAAGCTCTTCGCATCGTGACCTCCGGGGCCATCTCGATATTAAAGACAGTCCTGTTTCTTGATTTGTAAATTGACTTTCTGATCTGACAGATATCTATCAATATTTTCAAACTAGTAATATTTCAGCATGGTTCTCGTATTTTGCGGAATTTCGCCAGAATTGTGAATAATTATCCAGTTTTTGCTACGATTAATGTTACAGCTTTTTATTACATTACCGGCGCTGCGGTCGCACGGATGCAACGCCAGTCAATGTCGAACAAAGTCGAGAATTTATCGCGGACTGCTCTCTCAGTTATAACGTACGTAACGCCGGCTAATATTCGTCGCGCGTTTGTATTTTTGTATAAATTTTACATCCGACGGCGGACGAACGTGGCCGAAAATATCCGAGATTTTTAGTCCGTTGCATCCATCGTGCGTCGAACGCGCTTCTCTCCTCGTCATCCCCCCTTGGCAACATTCTATTCGCTCGGTTCCTCTCTATCTCTCCATTTCTCTCCATATCGTCCCTATCCACCTCGCCATCGCGCCACAACTTCGGGCAACATCGGATACACTCGTGCGACGTCGACCCTGACTTTTGTTGCGCGCTTTGTTGAACGTATAAACGGATGAGGCTTTTTCTGGGACTGGCAACGCGTGCTACTTTGTGCCTCTCTTGCACAGGATGCAAACGAGAAATAAAATCGAACCTGATGAGAAGTTCGCGCTCTCCTCTAATAATTTGCCATTGTTACCTAGAGCAAGCGATAAATTTATCAATCGTGTAAAATAATTCAGCGATATAACATATGCGCGTTACCGAATTAATTCAATAGTAATAAAATATAGAATCGGCAAGTCGCGTGATCTTTCATCGCGCGGGAAGAGAGCTACGTTGTTCTCGTTATAATGTTGAAAGGCATAATAATTAATAATCGAGTCCTCCAGGATTCGGCGGTACGTCATTCAATCTCGTTCGTGCCGAGCGTATAGCCCCCGCCGTCATCGAGGCTGCATCTCTCACAGTTATACCCGTAGACTCCGGCGCTCTCTCGGTCCCCGATGTTAGCGCGATCGATACGACGACCATCCCCCGTCGTCAGCCCGGCCGATTTTTTTCCATTCGACCCTCGCGCCTGCGCGCGCCAACGCGGTCTCCCCTTTCCGATTCCGAGCGAGCGGCGAGAGTCGGAGGAGGGTACACGCCGCCACCCGGCGAAGCGGGACCGAGCGAACAGGCGAACGAGCGAGCGAGTACGCGCGGCAGCAGTATGGAGTATGGAGGCGAGGCGAAGTGAGGCGAGGTGAGGTGAGGTGAGGTGAGGTGAGGCGAGGCGAGGCGAAGCGAGATGAAGCTTCGAGGCGAGATGCAACGGGACGGGACACGGAGAGGCGAGGGAAATGCGGGGATGAGGGGAGTGCGCCTTTATTATAGCCGCGCGCTTCTGCCATACCCCCGGCGCTCGGGCCAGAAACTCGGCGCTGCCAGGGATCGCCAATATCAGTTAATTTTGCGCACCCAGAAAATTTTTGCTGTAGTTGCAATACCACTTTTTTGAGTGTAGGCTAAATTTTCATTCTATGTGTGTATATATCTGTGATTATAATCCCAAGATGATCGTCGATCGTTAATAAAGCGGAAAAGGAGAAAGGAAGCCGAGTATGTCGACAGCCGTTCCACGCGACGCGTCTTATCGGCGCGTCGAGGGTGATAAGGCTATCTTTATCTGCGATAAAGTCGTTTCGAAGCTCGGAGTCTATCTCGACTGCGAGAATACGAGCGCGAAAGAACGCCGTAATGCATGGCACGCGTGCGATTAGAGATTATGATGTTCGAGATATCGATGAATCTTTGCTAATTATTTTTCGGAAATCATATGTTTTTACTCATCGATATTTTTGCCTTTAAAATTAGCCGGCTTATATTATAATATTATATTAATTATATTATATTATAGCCGGCTGGTATTATAATATTTGAGAAACAATATTTAATAAAAGTTGATTGAAATATTGAATAACGAAAATCTCTTGCAATTCCTCGCAATCGTTTATAAATGATCATTCTAGAATAATGAATATGTGTATGTATATTGATGTACACTTTTCATTAATTTAGAAAAGAAAATATTAGAGAGAGCAATGCTTTCTCTCTCTCTCTCTCTCTATCTCTCTTATCGTTAGAAGTGAGGCGAGGTGAGGTGAGGTGAGGTGAGGTGAGGCGAGGCGAGGCGAAGCGAGATGAAGCTTCGAGGCGAGATGCAACGGGACGGGACACGGAGAGGCGAGGGAAATGCGGGGATGAGGGGAGTGCGCCTTTATTATAGCCGCGCGCTTCTGCCATACCCCCGGCGCTCGGGCCAGAAACTCGGCGCTGCCAGGGATCGCCAATACCAATTTTGGAACGCGCCAACGTCGACCGAAATTCACAAACGAGATCTCGGAATTAGCAGGGAAAATGTGGGACCGCGCGGCTCGATCGATCTCTCGAAAAATATCAGGAGGGCAGCAGAAGCGAGATTAAATGTATTTATGTACATTACGTCGGGGAGGAGAGAGGGAGGGGATATTTAATAAAAGTTGATTGAAATATTGAATAACGAAAATCTCTTGCAATTCCTCGCAATCGTTTATAAATGATCATTCTAGAATAATGAATATGTGTATGTATATTGATGTACACTTTTCATTAATTTAGAAAAGAAAATATTAGAGAGAGCAATGCTTTCTCTCTCTCTCTCTCTCTATCTCTCTTATCGTTAGTTGATATCGTATGTGTGGCATGTGCGTGAGTACAATTATTGATATAATAAAAATAAACATTTATCTCTCTCTCTCTCTCTCTCTTTCTCTCATGCGAAAGATTGAACTTTTCGAAAGCAACGTCATGTTTCTCTCACGGGGAACTGTTGAAATATCTCGCAAAATTACGTGAAGAGGCAGCTGAACTTCTCATTATACGTGATAAATCGTGTTTTGCTACGTTTTAACAATTTCTACTCTCATTACTGTTAAGTTTATTTAGTCTAAATCGATTTAATGTTGTTATTGTTTCGAAACACTAATTATTCACCGAGCGTATGTGTGTGAGTAAAAACAGCCGCAGGTAAAATTTCAAAAAATTTCAAATCTATCTAAAATGCGCGTACAAAACTCATAGAATCTTGCATGTTTTAATATAGAATTAGCTGTATAATGACTATTCTGAAAATTTCCAGTTTCGAGTTTTTTCACTTTCGATTGTTTCTAACGTTAACCGAACATCGTGATATCGCGACGATGGACGATCCAATTGACCCGGGATAAACTTTCGCGTTCGCATCATTCATGCGGAAACGGTCTGCGGCATCATTCCGAATGAATTTCAATCCGTGCAATGACGTGCCGGTAGCGCATAGAAAAAGACAAAGAAAAAGAATGAGAGCGCGTACGAATATCGTACGGACAGAGCCGTAGTAGTTGCACGTAAAACTCTCGTCCCACTACCTCCTTCCTCCTCCTCCTCCTCCATCTCCTTCGCCCCCTGCCACGTTCCTCTCTTTCCGCCTCTGTAACCCTGACCTCCCGTAAAACACACCGAGAAAAAGACTTTTCCGGCGTGTACGCACGAGCGCGCCGTGCTGCTTCTGGCCGAACTCATGAATGGACCCGCGACTCTATTTACGAGGGCGTGCGATTCCGCCCGCCGCCGCTCCGCTTTTATCACCGTCTCCTGCATTACGACACGGCGGGGCGAGGTGAGATGAGGCATTTTCGGAATCCCCCGGTGCTCTTTTCTCTACAAAGCTCGACCGCCGACTTCCTCTGCTACCGCGCCTCGACTGTATCGGTGCCGCGCCGAGATATGTATCGGTCCGCGAAATTGTTTTCGAATGGCCGATTGTTTGGCACGCCTCGGACTTAGCGAGGAGGAAGAGAGCCCGTCAGAGAAGGAGGGGGAGAAAAATGTTTTTTTTTCCTTCCCCTTCCTCGTACTCGCTCTCTAATGCAGCCGGTGTTCGCCCTCATGTAAACAACTGTGGAATCGTTTGCGAATTCCGGCTTACCTATACGGTGATCGACACGTTCGGCGAACAAATCAACAGCGTATCGATGTGAAAGATTCAAAGTGAATGTGACATATAAATGAGATACACAGAGTACCCGTCATAAATACCTCTATTTCCATAAATGATCGAAGGCATTTATTGTATAACAACATCTAGTGTTTGACTTACATAAACAATCCCAAAATAACTTACACATGCGTTCGTAGATTCTTTTTTTGATAGATTATAGATAATTTTCCGCAAGTGGAGATTTTTTAGATACCTTTTTTAGATATCTCTTTTTATCTATATCAACATTGTGTAGACGGATAATTTAGAACTATTCTGTGCACTTTAAATTTCTTAACTAATCTTTAGTTTTTAATTAACATGGCGAAGTCTATTAGCTCACTGTGATTATTTGCGAAAAAAAAATCAAAATTATTATAAAATAAGTCAGAAGAAAAGATAATTATTGAAATAATTATTTTTGAGTTAGATAATAAAGAATATGAAAAGAAAAGATGACGCAAAGATGACGACATCGCACATGACAATTATCAATTAATTATAAAAATCGATTTACAGTAACTGACAATCGGTTATATAAATATATTAATAAAAAACTCATAAAATCAGTTATAAATATATTAATAGAACTCATAAAAGTTATTTTTTCATATACCATACTACATTTCCGTATACTGATATTTATTACTAGAGAGAGTTTGTATGTTCTAGGATACGAATAAACGATTCTTTCCCCCCTCTTTCTTCATCTCTCTCGAATCGTTGCTTTCTTCCTTCTTCAATCATTGTTATTACACCAAGCTTATAGTGAGTATAATTT